ATCTTCAGAGGAAGAATAAATCCTTCTCTACAGGATCCTGCTCCAGCAGAACCACCCCTGACACTGCAGGAGGGCTGAGCCACAATTCCAATGGGACTGCTGCCAACACCCTGACCCACAGGGTGTCAGGTTGGGTTCTGATTCTGTCAGTGTTGTTCTAGTTCATTGCATTGTTTATTTTATCCTTTTATTTTTCTTCCCTATTAAAGAACTGTTATTTCCTGCTCCCATATTTTTGGCCTGAGAGCCCCTTAATTTCAAATTTATAACAATTCAGAGGGAGGGGGTTCCCATTTTCCATTTAGGGGAGGCTCCTGCCTTCCTTAGCACCCACTTGTCTTTCCAAACCAAGACAAACTGTTATTTCTGCTCCCATATTTTTTGCCTGACAGCCTCTTAATTTCAAATTTATAACAATTCAGAGGGAGAGGGTTTACATTCTCCATTTAGGGGAGGCTCCTGCCTTCTTTAGCACACACCTGTCTTTCCAAACCAAGACAACCAGGAATGTCACAGACCAACATCTCCAGGGACTGGACCTTCTCCTGAAACTCAGCTGTTTGGATTGAAACCATGAACATTCTCACAGCTTCTCCCTGTTCAGAGGGCCCGTGAAGAGCACCCAGAGTCACCTCAATGGTGCCATCCTTGCAGTCCATGACCCTGGAGAAGGTCTGGCTGAGGATCTCGATGTCCTGGCGCAGCTCTTTGTCCTTGGCCTTGCGTTGGGCTGAGCGCCAGAGCGTGCGGACCTTGTGGAGACCCCAGAGGCTGCTCTGCTCCTCCCGGCTCAGCTTCTCCTGTGCAGGGGGAATGGGAGGTGGGAAAGAGGCAGGAGTGGGTTTGGGGTGCCTCTGCTATCTGGGGGTGCAGCAGAACGGGTGCAGCCCCAGCCCTGGTGGGGATGATGGGGAAATTTGCTGGGGAAAAGAGTTTGGGGGGCTTAAAGGGTGGAGTTTGGAGGGGATCAGGGGAGGCTGCAGTGGGGTCCCAGACCTGCATGAAGCGGGTGAGCAGCGCCCTCTTGACTTTGGCCTGCTCCTCCTCAACCAGCGCTTGTCTCTGCAGCAGCAGCAGCTCGGCCTCGGCCGACGTGGGGGCGCTGAGCTGGGACCTCGCCATGGCTGGA